ATAGTACTGGGAGACAGGAAATGTATAAACTGACTCTTTTTGACTTCCTGATTACCATCGCTACACTAATCCTGGTAGAATTCACACGTAGGTCTGTTTGCACATTTATGAATTTGGGCATAAATGTTTATATTAAAAATGAAAGTCTGTAACTTCTTATTGCCTTTAGGATTGTAGTTGATCATTGCTCATGTAAACTGACTCAGTTGGTGGGACGGCAGGAGTTTCTGGTTGCCCCGAATGTTCTTGCTCTAGTTTACAGTCAAACGGTGGTTTGGACTGGAGCTCTTTTCTGTCCATTGCTGCCATTCATCAACACCATCAAATTCATACTCTTTTATTACTGCAAAAAGGTACCATGAACACACCCTTCATAGACACACACACATCTAAGTAATACAGTTGATTGCAATTTCTCATTTGTTTCTGTTTGCTTGTGTCAGATAACTCTCTTCCAGAATTGTCAATTGGCAACAAGAAACTTCAGATCCACCACCTCCAATTTCTTCTTCCTGTTGGTTCTGCTGTTTGGATGGATGTTGTCCAGCGTGGTTCTTCTTTACATTGTGGCTAAGTCAGTGAGGCCTGTAACGCTTCATGTTGTAGCACACTGATTTTAATGACAGAGAAATAATATTTGTGTATAATCATGTATACTGTATGTCAAGTGTTATGTTGAATTTCTGCATATCTGTCCTTTTTTTTGGTAGGATCCATCCATCTTATGACTGTGGGGCTTTTCGCTTGAACTCAGCAATGTGGGACGTTGTACCAGGAGCTGTCAAAATGCTAAGCCACACCAGTAAAGAATTCCTGTTTTATATCGGCTCCCAGAAATTCTCCATACCACTCTTCATCTTCTCCTGGTCCGTATAAACAGCCTTTCAATTCAGGATTTCTTACAATTTTAATGTAAAATTTTACTCAATATCCAATACTTCTGTAACAGTAGTGTGTTTAAAAACATTGATATTCCTATAAAGATTTGCTTAAGAGGATTAGGACTGATTTTTAATATACAGTGTGCTCCTGTGCTATGTTAGCGCTTTAACGTCTGTCCATGGGAAAAGTGTAACATTGCTGAAATCTCAGTGTAAACTGGTAAGTTCTTAGTTATTAGTAATCCAAATCTATGGATTAGAATGGCTATGGATATTTAAATTGTGTAATTGTATAATATAATAAGATTTAATTTCAATACATTTCCTTTGTATACCTTTTTGTGATTTGTGGTCTGAATATTAGATAAATATCACAAAAATGCTAAGATAAAATAATATAACATTTATAATAAGCGGTGTGATCACCTACCTAAACTATGACTTTTTTGTTTCCAATTTATCCTCTGACTGGAACCAATATGAATCCATCCTTTAATCCATATTTATCTGGGTGTAACAGGAACAGCGTGACAAGCAGTTCCTGGTCAGACAAATTGAAGAGCTGAATGCCACAGTGCAGAAGGAACAACGTGAACCACAGCAGCCCCAGAGAGAGACCAAGCCCTTATACCACACAGCAACACAGTGGAATCAACATTCAAATTATGCATTTGATCCTGATGAAGACCCTAGACCAT